TTTGTTAACCCATTTACTGGCAGTACCCTATACCACTGACGAGTAAAATCGTCTGGCGTTGGACAAGGGAAGGGCGCATTGCCAGCTAATGGGTTAAACCACCGTGGTTAAACATAAGATTTCATGATGCTCCAGGAAATGTAAACAAGCTATCAGTGTGACATCCCAGTTTATATATTTATATACTCGGAATATTGATTTCTCGGTACATACAAAACTATTTTAAAGTATAACAACCAGCGAAGACGTAAGGCACTAACTACCCTGCGCGGCTGCGCGCAGACTATATAACGACATATATATGTCATCCGTCCGGTCCGTCCGTCATTCATCCGTCCGTCCGTATCCGCGTTTTATCCTAACCCGTTTTTAAAACACAAAGTTTGCATTTAATTAAGGCCACTGCGGTTCGTCATGATCAATATTTTCAAAAGCGGCCAATTAGACCAGGGGTTAAAGGACAATGACAATGTCAGTCCACCCGCATCAACTCCACCCTATCTAATCGACTACCAATCACTCACGGGGTACCCCAAGGTGCGACGCTTTCACCATTATTATTTTGTATTTATTTGAACGATCTTCCCTCCGTATCTCGTGACTCCAGCCTTGAATCGTACGTTGATGACTCGAAAGTTCTCCTCTCCTTCCCATTACGTCAGATTGATACAGCAATTGCAAATCTTGAGCAAGACCTACACAGAGTTGCAAGTTGGTGCTGTGAAAACCACCTTTTAATTAACCCGGGGAAAACAAAGTACATGATGATCGGAACAAGGCAGATGATGAGCAAACTACCTGCAGACACATCAGTTTCATTCTTGGGCAAGTCTCTTAAACAATTGGATTCTGCTAAAGATTTAGGTGTCACATTAGATAGACACCTAAATTACGACAAACATGTCTCGCTTCTTGTCTCGTCGTGTATGAACAAATTATGCCAGATAAATCGTGCAAAAAATATTTTCGACAAAAAAACATTATCGGAAGTCATTTCATCCTTAGTCATGAGCAAAATGGTTTATTGTTCTTCGGTATGGTCAAATACGTCTGCCTCCAACGTGAAGAAAGTTCAGTCGATCCAGAACTTTGCTTGCAAAATCATCACGAAATCCAGGAAGTATGACCACGTAACTCCACTTCTACGTGAACTGAATTGGCTCCCAGTAGACAAACTACTATATTTTAGAGACGCCAGTTTGACCTATAAATGTGTGAATAACATAGCACCTGACTACCTTTGTAACAAATTGATAAAAAGGTCATCAATCCACGACCGTAAGACTCGTACACACGACTCTCTTCAAATACCTCTATTTAAGACTGCAGCTGGCCAACGATCATTTACATATAGAGCCGTCCATATTTGGAACAATTTAGACAAGAACTTGAAAGACTGCTCTTCACTTAAAATTTTTAAAGCAGCACTTAAAAAACATCTGCTTGCAAACGATAACATTTAGTATAACCAACTAAACTTTGTATATAGTCTTTGATAATTGTTTAAACTTATATTTTGTAACCTTAATTATTACTGCATGCATGTAACTGTAAATAATTTCTGAAAAACCCTTTTAGGGAGAAATTTATTAAATATCTATCTATCTATCTATGACATGCAGGTGACATTTAACATTGCGTCTCACTAATTAAAATTTGCGTGTTTAATAGTGTTTATCAAAGAAAGCAAAAATATATACAAGACAATCTCACATGTGGAGTTTTTCACTTACAGTACGTACTGCCTTGTGATGCAGTACAAGTATAAATACAAATGACAAAGCATTTGTAAATCCTAAAACATAATTAAATCATACGGCACATTTAAGATTTTAATATCGTATTTCAGCCGCGTTTTACTGTTTGGCGCATTCGCTGCGTTAAATTCATTTACATGTATATACACAGAAAAGCATGTCATTGTCCTTGCAGACCATAGGCAAAAAGCATTTGTCAACCATGCACATACCAAATTTAAGCAATCGTTAAATCATATACATGTCATGGAAAGAATATGGAAATAATGTTGAATGAAAGCTAGCATCGCGTATAATATTAAAAGCACACGCATATAGTGCTCGAACCACTGCGTATAATTGCAAAAGCATCGCGTATATAAATGGTGAAAGCACCGCGTATAATACTGGAACCACCGCGTATAATGGCGAAAACACCGTGTATAATGCCAAAAGCACCGCCGTATAATGCTAAAAGCACCCAACAAAATGCCGTTTGATCACTTTAAGCCAGCTATGGCTTTCCATAAAAGAAGACCAAAGATGAAACATGATCACATTGCCTGTTTGCCTTATGCCTGACCGCGCTGCACCACGGTTAAAATTCACTGGTACCGTCATGCAATGCGCCAAATAGAAAATTTTGATTTCGACCCACAAAACAAAATTAGGATCTGCTGCCTTGCTCGCTCGCTTCAGGCTCGCTCGCTGCGGCAGCAATTAGGATATGCTGCCTTGCTCGCTCGCTTCAGGCTCGCTCGCTGCGGCAGCAATTATAAAAAATGCAGTACGTTTGATCCTTGATAACTTTGGTATGGTTGGTTCTCTCTTTTTCGGCCGTATACCTGTGGATTCGTCTCACTTCTCTCTTCATTTTGATACTATTTTGAGCCCAAATGAGCCCCAAAATATTTTATTTTGAACGTTTTAAAGCGCAGTTTAATCCTAGCGCGCGGACAACCGGCGGCCGTATTTGTAGGTGGAAACGCCGGAAGTTTTATTTGTTGGGCACCGCATTTTAGTACTCTGACTGACTGTATAAAATCCTGAACTGGGGTCATTATACTAACAATAACTTCAAAACTAAGCCACCTGTACCTACAATACAAACCTAGTGAATTTGTGAGCGGCAGCACTCTCCCCTTGACAAGAAAAATCGACTGGTACTGACCATATGAGACATTAAAGTAATAAAGTAGGGCGCATTGCCATTGGGGCACAATGCAAGTTAGTTGGATAATAACATGGTATTCACCTAAATAAACAAAGCAGTGAGAGCACTATACTGTTATACGGCTTTTCCGCTTAGCTCGGGCACAACCCTAAATCTTAATTGAAATAGATGTGTACTGTATGTATGTATCAATTCATATACAGTAATGACTAATGTGCGTATTTGTAAAGCCCCAGCGAGTTAACGCTCTACAGAGCGTCTTGTTATTTAATGGTATTTTATGTTATCTAATACAATCTTGACATTTAGTATATTTATTTAGAGATCAAGTTTCTTATGATACAGCAACGTCGCAAACTATCGTCAAACATTCCAAAGCTGGCTTTGACATGAATTTAAAAGATATACACACAGTTAAGGATTGTTTAGCACCGAGAATATTTAGTATTGTTGCCTATGTATGTGCAATTGTTCATTTCCTTTGTGGATTGATATTTGCTGCTGTTACCGCAGCTTTGAGGGCAAGCGAGAACGCGGGGAAATTTTCTTGCTCTGTTGATGCCACGTATAAGAAACAGGTCGATCAGGCATGTTTGGCAAGATATGATCAAGTTTATAACTCTCCTTTGCCTTTGTATGGCTTTATTTTGCTGAGTACTGGATTGTCAGTTCTTGTCAGTGTTATTTATTCACTGCTAGTATGGAGCTTTTTCAAAGGAATAAAGTCAAGCTATGAAACGTCAAGATTTTTTGGAATGGTAAGAGTTGTTGATTCAGTTTTATTTTATCGCTATTTCTTCCACCTCGTTGTGCGTTCGTTCCTTGGGATCACTTTTACTGTTTTACAACAAATATATTTCTATCCCAATGGTTTCGATTCGAAATTCAGCTGTAATTTACCACAAACGGAAGTAACATCCAACGTGACGAGTCGTAATTTGAACAGTGCATCGGTGACGGTAAATTGTGAGAATGCGACAGCGTCAGAGAAACGGTTATGGGGCATAATTGTGTCTCTAATAAACGTTATTGTTGCCTTAATTATGTTGGGGGAAGCGATTGATCTTTTTTCAAGGAAACGCATAATCATACGTAGATATCGACATAAACATGGCTGGTGCGATGATTCTGAAATTTTTCTTGACGATAATGTTAGCAATTCATACAACGTACCTGGTGAAAGTGAACCTTTAACAATCATCATAAACAACCCTCCACACTGTCGCACTCAAGATTATAGCACTCTGGACTCTGTCACTCAAGCGTGTGGCGCTGTGAGCGATAGCGTTCAGGACTCTAGGAATCAGGACACTCCCGACTCTATCGCTCAGGAATGTACCACAATGGACAATGACATCCAGGACTCTGGGATTGAAGATCGTATCGACGTTTACAAGAAACAAGTTTTGGATCCTTTTCGTGATCCTGACATAATTTATGGACCAAACGCCACTATAAACGATTTGTATATTGACGTTGTTATTCATACTAAACGAGCTCGGCATTATTTTCCTGAAGAAATGGAAAGACACGAAATCTACGACGTTTATATGAAAGTTCCTCCATACTCAATATGTTTAGAAAGAATTGATGAATTATTTTATCCAAACAAAGATACAAAAGAAGAATTTCCTCGTAGCATTCTGGCGATTGGAAGACCTGGGATTGGAAAAACTGTCTTGACCCAAAAAATTCTCCATAACTGGGCTAATGAAATTGATGAATATTATTCCGACAAGATTGCCTTCTTTTTCAAATTCAGATGGTTCAACGAGAATATCAACAAATTAACAAATATATCCCTTAAGAAATTTCTTCAGTTTGGGACGGGACTGAGTGAAGAAAATTTCGAACGTATTTACGAAGAAATTGCAAAAAAGCCACAAAAAGCCATTATTATTTTTGATGGTTTAAATGAATATCACGGCAACCCCATAAGTTGCTTAGACCAATCTCGCATCATTCCAAACGATCCTGATACTGGCACGTCAGCAATGAGTTTGTTCATTAAACTAGTTTTGGGCGACTTGTTGAAAGGAGCAACGGTTGTAGTAACGAGCAGACCGACAGCAGATGATTTTTACTCGAGACTTGATTTTGATCGAAATGTGGAGATTATTGGATTCACTTCCAATAAAATTAAAGAATATGTCAGCCGATTTTGTGGTAATAATAACACGAGCGACCTCAAAACGAAGATATGGAACCACATAAAATCCTCATCAGAACTGTTAAATTTATGTTACATTCCAGTCAACTGCTTTATAGTGTGTGTTACTCTCTCTGGATGTCTTAGTGACCCAAGAAATGAAACCGATGCTCTTCCAACAACACTGACAGAACTTTACCAGACAGCCACAGATCATTTTGAGAAATATCATCACAGAAATGTAGACAGAAATGAAGCGTTAAAGAAACTTCAACAATTAGCATTTCTTGGTATGAAAATCGGGCAACTGGTTTTTAATCAAGTATTATTTGATGAAGAAATGAAAACGTCTGGTTTGTTGAACAGTTTATCCAATCCTATTTTCCCACAACAGGCACAGTTTTGTTTTATCCATTTAACCATACAAGAATTTCTTGCTGCAAGACACGTGACTGAAACATTCGCTCCACCCGAAATAAAGAAGTTTATTTCTGACCATCTTAAAAGTGGAAAATGGCATTTAGTTCTTCAGTTCATTGCAGGACTTTTGGGCAAGAGAATCAAGAATTTTGATAGGGAATACAAGGATTGTATTTTCGCGTTTGCAGAAAGCTTCGAAGTTACTGATGGTGGAATTGAAGTTCATTATCATGAAGTGTTTATAATGAAGTCTTTAAGAGAAGCGGACGATGAAGAGATTACTAAAGAAGTTTGCGAAGCAACTGCTTTAAACGATTCGGTAAAACTTTTCACTCATCCAAGATTTTGTAATCTTTCTACAAGTGAGTGGGCGGCAGTGACTTTCGTTTGCAAACATATGAAAAAATTGGCAAATTTGACATTGTTTGGATGGGACACAGATTGTTTTCCGGAGGTTCTAGGATTGCTACAAAAAAGATGCCTAAATCAACTAGAATTATACGAGAGATATGATCACGTTCTTGCAGACGAAATAGAACAAGTATTTAGCGCATTAATGGAATTAAACTGCACGTTCCACCACGAACACACTAAGCTGACTTCGTTAACACTTGGTAGATTTCGCATGACCGAAACAAGTTTACCAATCATGTGCAAATTTTTTGAAAACGAGCATGCGAGCCAACTTGAGCAGTTAACTCTAATTTTTATTGGAATTTATTCACATGAAATTTCGAAACTTTGTGAAGTCCTCAACAATGGACATTGTCCAAATCTTACGTGTTTTGATCTTGGAAATAATCCAATACGTGACGAGGGTGCAATGGTGTTGTGTGATACTCTGACGAACGGGCTTCGTAAACTTAATAGCTTGGATGTCAGTTGGTGTGAGTTAACAGATCGATGTATTCCTACGCTAGTTAAGGCACTACAAGATGAACGTTGCCAACTGACTGATCTATCCATGGGGTACAATGCAATAGGTGATGAAGGTGTAGGTATGTTGTTTGAAGATGCCCTGACAAAAGATCATTGTAAACTTACTAAGTTGGATCTTCGTGATTGTTCATTAACAGATGAATGCATACCCATTTTGTGTGAAGCACTGCGAGATGAACGTTGTAAGCTAACAAAATTGTGGCTTCGGTCAAATAAATTTACTGAGAATGGCTGGAAGTTTCTTCGCCATATAACGAATTATAAAAGTTGTAAAGCTAGGGGTTTACAAATTGAAGAGCCATTGGATCAAGGTGAGTTTCGTAGCATAAATAACAGCACATCTGTTTTTATTTCCTTTGCCTTCTAGTGCTGCGTTCAAAAACCTTTAATAATCGCTAATTTTTCAAAACATGATTGGCGTTAACTTTTAGATAATAATTCAACGAAAGGAGTTACAGCAAATTTAACTCTCTCGTGTTATTAAAAAATGACATCAGGAGAGTTAAACAATTGGGTTTTGTCATCGATAAAAGTGGACCTGGCTTGAACTTAACCATCACCGTAAACTCTCAGTTTAGCATTCCCTCTCCACGGAGGCAATAGTTTTCTGCAAGTATACTATGGCGGATTACTTTAAGGCATTTTTATTACAGCATATTGAGCACAGTATAAATTTTATTTATTTGAAAGCATCTATGATCGAAAAATGTGTTCAATTACCCGCAAAGGGGAAAAATTATGAAGGCAAATCCCCGACCGCCTGCAATTAAAATATATATGAAACTGTCAACACAGAATAACCGCATCAGCCTCGCACGCCTATGTATGGAAAGTTGCCCCTATCTTTTACGCTATGCTCTTACAAAATTAAACTTCCCGGTCGTTGCCATGTTTACAGCCTGTGTGTAGGCACTGTACCCAAATATCGCATGATTCCCGGAAATGCCTTGGAGTCAAATTCCTACGTTTGAAACAGGCCTTAGACACAATTCCTGGTAAGCCCGGGGGGATTATTTATTTCATTATAACCTCACTGGTTATTGTTACATTATTTTTATTCTAATACGTAAAATATGATTGCACAACTGTGACAGTCAGAAAAATGCGTTTATGGTGTTTCAATGAATTGTTCTTCGGATTATTACTACAACAAATATTAATAAATTTTTGCTCAATGCAATGTTAGTTATAAAATATTCCAATTCTTTCTCTATATTCAGATTTCAAGGAAGGTCACAGAACGCATGCTCAAGAAAGTTCGCCAGAGCTACAAGCATCGTCGTCGCAAGTACGAGGTAAATTATTTCCAGCTTCTGAGATTACTATACTATCCATAAATATTGCTATTTTTCATAGTGAGAACGAGGTTGCTATATAAATTTTCACGACATGAAAAAAACTGTAGCAACGGAACACACTTTTGCAGAGGAGGATAAATAACAAGGGGCCCTTGGATATTTATCCACCGAACATATATACAGTAGTCTGGTTAGGTTAACTAGAACGTCCTGGTCAAACATAACCAGATTCCTGGTTACACTAACCAGACTATGGTAGGAAGTGAGAGAAAGTAACCAGAAAATTTAACCAGGACGATTTTTAAATCTCCTTTGGAAGCCTTAGAATGTTTGAAGAAGACATAGTTCATATAATTCCTTCTTCTACGCACCTCAAAATATTGGGTCAAAAATAGTTAAAACCTAACAAGAAACTAAAAGACTAAAAATATGGCAGATTATATCTCTCGGATTCTCAGGCTCTTCAGTTTGACGCCATATTGAATATATATTCATATCTAATATAAAACGACTATGTCTTTTTGAAATATTTATACTTTCGAACTATCTAATTCTTGCTTTGACTGTCAAAATCGTTGGGAGAAATTTTGAAAGAATGAGTTAATATGACTGCATTTTTAATCTTCGATTTAGACGCAGTCGATGAAAACTATGATGCTGATACTATTAAAACATCCAACACATCAGGCGACGCTCATCTTCAGGATGAAACTGTTGACAATGTGACGCAAACAGACATCGAAAACAGAAGTATCTATGATGATAAAATTGCGTCTGCAGAACAATTATTGATCTTAGAAATTTCTCACGAAACGGAAGGCCGAAGTAAAGAAGCCATCAAAAGCTACGAACAAGCAGTTCAAATTAGGGATGAAACAGATCGCAATGACATCAAATCAAAAGCTTATCAACATTTGGGGAACGTATTTTATGAAACGTCCGAGTATAAGAAAGCAATCGAGTTTTATCAGAAGGCACATGAGATCTCTCCAGACCTCGAAGCAGAAGACAAAATTCTCCAAAAAGAAGCATATACAAACTTGGGAGCTGTTCACTACAAGAGCTGTAACTTTGATGCAGCTGTCAAATCGTATCTCAAAGTTAAAGAAATTTCTCACGATCTTGGTGAAAGAAAAGAAGAAGCCAACGCATGCCTTATGCTCGGCGACACCTTTCAAGAATTGAAGCAACACGAGGAAGCCATCGAATCTTACCGAACGATTTTAAATATCAGTGAAGAATTGGAGGATAAAAAAATGCAAAAAGTTGCAATGCGGAGATTAGCAGCATCGTATTTAATGGCGTCAATTTGTTATAAAGATTGTGATTATGACAAGGCAATAGAATTGCGCAAGAAGGCAATAGAATGGAACGAGAAGACATTGGATATTCTTGGAACAGAGCCCAGCGATCACCTCTTGCATGAGAAGGCTTTTACTGGTTTGGGAATTGACTGGTTTAATCGTGGAGATACAGAGAAAGCGATGGAGTCAATTCACGAAGCTCAAAACGTGGCAAAGAATACCGACACAGGTAGTTATTACACATTGCTATATTTTGTGGGGAAAAAAACGTGCGATGCAAAAGCTTGGGTCAACAATGCAGTAAATACGAAGTCATTATTTCAACATTGATATTCAAGACGAAAATAATTTGGACTTACTTTTCTCGTTTTTCCTACGTATTGTATATTTAACGTAGATCAATTAATTAGCCTTTCTCACGCCGCCATTTTTGGGGTACTGTAATTTTTCGTAAACGATTATAACAATGTGAAAAGCAATATTTCAGAACAAACCAACCATTTACAAAGTAAATTTGCCGTCATACACCCATAAAATTATAAATTGTTACACTTGCAGGATTGGCAAAAAAGTACCCCAAAAATGGGGGCGTGAGAAAGGCTAATTTAGAATATTTCTCAAATTTACAAATTACACGTGAAAAGTTAAAACGCGGCGAAAATGTCCAATTTAACCTCTGAACAGAACAGCGTTGTCCATGCAGGTTGAACGTTAATTATCCTTGCTTTGAATTACGCATGAACTGTACGCGCAAGCTTAATTTAAATGCATGCGCTTTTACGCCATATCTTGTAAAAATAGTGCTAAAAATGAATCAAAATAGATTTGTTGGATGTGTTGTTAAAATGCGTACTTTAAACTAACTTGGCGTTTTTTGTTTCGGGTCCATATAGCACCCAGAGTAACCAACCAACCAGAGACAAATGTTCCGACTGGAATCAAGTGAGTTTCTATAATTCATTTTTAACTAGATTAATTTGTGTGCTGAATATTTTAAAATACGTTTTTGAGAACAGTTGAAAATGATGTGATAAGATACTCTATATTCTCGCGTGAGAAGTTTCGTGAAGAAATTTTGAGAAGTTTCATGAAAGAACACAGTTGAAGCGACCAGCCTCTGAGGAGTGCCTTGTCTAGGTCAGAATGTGAGCATTGCTCTAGTGTGAGTACACTTGGGATACAATACAAGCTGAGATAACTAACCTGTGAAAAATGTCCTGTGTGGGTAAGACTTTAGAAGCCAAACATTTTTTCTACAAAACGACTGTTTTCCAGTATGTTTGTTTTACCCGTGCGGGCTAAGTGTTCAAGAAAATCCCATTGAAATGAAAAATATTTCAATTTCCAAAGTGGATGAAAACAATAAACGTTCTGCCCACCGTTTGTAGGCATTGCTGTGCTTGTGTGTCTATGCAGTCATGGAAACACGACTTTCAACCAATCACCGTACTTGTTTTCAACATGTTATTTTAAACATAATAATAATAATAATAATAATGACCACGCACGGTTGTTATGCAACTATTTAGAAACATGAGCAGTAGTGTTTTGTCAGATTTAAAATATGACAGCTGTTGGCGTTTTTAGATCTGATGAAACATCAATAAAATTGTACGTTTTTTATAACTGCATGGCTTAAATTAAAAAACGACTCAAGATTCACGTTTTCTTAGCCAAGAACATCAAAGATTACGTTTATATAAATCAGGATGATTTTTTACCAGATATGAAACTCGCCGAACCAGTGTTGATTTTCACTTCCTCATGTTTTAAAATTCTATTTTAAGAACCTTAATTACAGTTGCCATATTTATATTAATCTCACTGATATAGTCGTGTCATTCCTTTCGTTTGCTAGCTTCACCGTTAATAAACAAGGACAAAGTGTTTCCTTTCCTGCTGCAAGTGCTTTTTTTCAGTTTCCAGCCGAAGCAGTTGCAAATGCAGTTCCTATAAGGCTTAGTTGTATAAGGCATCAAAAATGTAAAGTAAAGCCAAAGAATGGAGACGTATTTTGCAGTAGCATCGTGAAAATGGAACCGGAAGGTTATCGCTTTAACAAACCAGTCACAGTTCTTCTCTCTCACTGTGCTGCTCAAGACGGTGCTTATGCTGATTATTATGATCTAACCATTCAGAAATTGGGTAAAGAATGTGAAGATTTAGAGACAGAACAACTTGGAAAATCTGAAGGTAGAACACTAGAGTAATATCCACCCTGGACATTGGAGGGGAAGGAAGTGAAGATGGAAATTGGGGGAAAGGAAATATATGATCAGGAGAAGAAAAAAGGGGGAAGTAGAGGTTGGAAGAGGATTTAAAAGCGAGGAGAAATGGGAATAGATGGTAGGGAAGAAGTGGGTAGGGAAAATTAAGAGGAAGAAAAGATGGAAGAGGTCTAAGAGAAGAGGTAGGAAGTGTAGTGGGAATAGGAAAAAGAAGGGAAAGAGGAGGGGTGGGTAGTGAGCAAATAAAAAGATACGTTAAAGCAGGAGAGGAAAAGGAGAACACGAAAAAAGGAATGGAGAAAGAGATCGAAGAGGAGAAAGCGGTAAGGAAAGAGAGGGGAAGTTGAAGAGAAGGAGATAAAGGATTAATAAAGAAGAGAAGGCGGAGAAGCAGAATGAAAGGACAAAAAAGTTGCAAATTAGTTAAATAGGAGGAGAGAGAAGAGCAGAATGCATATTCTCATACTGGCTTGCCGCTGCAAAGCAGGGAAGTGCCTTTATTAAGTGCATTACAATAACAGTTCAAATACGATGTGCAAAAACTAAATTGATGCTAAAGTCGCTTAACTCGTGTGACCTAACACACGGCACCCCAGTGGCTCAGTATGAGAAACCCGTTCTACGCTTATTCCGTAAACTCAGACAACGAGAAACTCAAAATCCTTCATCAGATGAAGTCTAGTCCACAAAAAACTATTTTGTGGACGTCTGGGTACTGGTAGTCCTGTTTTTTGTTTTGTGAATATGTATATACTCAAAGTATTGCCAACGATGCACTTTGCTTTTAAATTCCAACTACTAAGCCTAAATCGACTTTATACTGTAAGAAATTCAAATTTTCGTTTTTGACTTAAGATTTACCAGCGAAAATTGTTTCTGATTTCTGTGATATCCTCGAGTATTTACCTCTTGCACAAGCCAGCATCACAGAAGCGTCGACATTAGTTGCAACGACCAGGATACGATCTGAGGAAATTATTCTGGTGCCTGATGAAATGTATGTTTATCCGAGATCTTATGGAAACGAGAGCGATCTAGAGATAATCTTTCCTGTTGGAGCTGTGGAAGAGGAATGTCGTTTAACTGTGCAGGTAAAACTAAAATCGGTTTCACGAGATAGATAGAGAAAAAATATCAACAAGTAAGCTTAGCTTGATAAACCAATGCGGTGTGGTTGTATAAGTATTACAACAAACACTGGAAATTTTAGAACATTGAGACATAAATAATGATGCGATAGTCAATCTTTTAACAAATTGTGAGGTACTTCTGTATCAGGCAATGAATCGTGAAACAAAGTGGTACAGATCTTATTTTGAAAAGATAGATTCGATGTGAACTGGCCAGCATTTAACTAGGATCACTTCGGTGGCGTAGTCGTTATATATTCAAGGATTTCAGTTAATACCACGTCTTAACAAGAAGCGTTAAGACTTAAGACGTAGTATTAACTGAAAGTTTGAAACCCTTGAATTGATGAAAACTATCCACGGAGAAACGCACGCTCTGTTACAACATTCAACAACACTGATACCCGATCTGTTCAGGAAAATGTAGCCATCTCTGTAACAGCCATGAGATGTTGATGACGGTGATCAGCATTGATGTCCACTGATCAGTATTCGTTAGTCCTGATATATATCTGATAACAACAACATGTAACAGTACTGTTGCCTCATCACAAATTCTTATTTTTCTTAAGGTGTTTCCTGTTCGAGACATGCTAGACGTTTCAATGAGTCCAAATGACCAGCTTATACAATTTCCA